TCTTCTCTAAAAACTTGGCAAGAAAAAAAAAGTTGAATGATAAGAGTAAAAAAATTGTTAAACCAATTTTTGAGAACAAAAACCTCTTTTCTGTTGATTACAACATTCAAATTACAACTGACTGATTATTCTCGACAATTACCGTAATCACAGCTAAGTTTTTAAAAAAAATCATAATTTTTTCCTTATTTTTTTTTTCATTCTTCACAACATTTCACTGTCGTCTTCCACTATTTTCACTTTAGTTCCTATCGTTTATTCACTCATTCACTCACTCACTCACTTATTCTTTAATTGACCACAGTTCATACATTCAGTAAGCTTCGTTCAACTTTTGAACACCGTCGGTTTTTTTTTTTTAATCCCATTAAATCAAGTTTTTTTTTTTTATTTTAAATCAATCTCTTATGCCTAAATACCGCTATTACAATTGTTGTTACAAACTTTCTCCATCTACCTAAATCAGTAACTGTTTTTATTCAAACAAAAAAAAAAAAAACGTTACAGACAACAATAAGAACTGACAAAAAAAAAACGAAAATGCATAAACAGAACAAACCTTTGTAACTGCAACACGATGTAATTCATTTTCCAGACGACTTTTTTCTTCAAATAAACGTTTGTTTTCATCAAAAAACCTGTTAACTTGTTGTGCTAATCCAGCATTTTCATCCATCAGTCGTTCGTTTTCTTCCAGAACATCTTTCCTTTCACGCATCGTATTGTCATATTCGTGCCGTACCGCTTCATATTTATTGTAGATATTTCGCAGTTCACGTTCCAATTCATTACGTACTTTATTGGCCCTCAATAAGTAAACAGTTACAAATCCACGCAACTTTACGCTCTCCAATCACACTTTTTTTTTTTGACTTTCCTTCTGACATTTCACAACCAAATTTGATCCGAAACTGATTTGTGAAAAAAAAATTATAACCGTCAACAAAGAAAATTCTATAACTCTAAGTTTTTTGAAAACTACAAAGCAATGACAAAAAAACAAACAAAATACTAATTGCAATCTGGAAATAACGCTTCAATAAAAGTTTAGATGAAAGAAAAAACAATTTCGATACAAGAAACATTATCTTTTTGGTCAAAACGCTGCAAAAAAGTTTTATTCGCATGACCGCATACTGTAAAAACTTAATTTAGAAAAGAAAGAACAAAAGCTGAAAAGAATAAATTTCCAGTATTTTTTTTTTTTTTGAAAATTTTATATGGTTTCAATAATTTCAGTAGCAGCTTGAAAGGTTAAATAACAAAAATTTTTAGCTCGAAAATAAGAGGTTATTTTGGAAGACTGAAAAATTAAGAAAAGAATGTGGGATATCTACTGAAAGAGACTGCTCATTATTCTGTCAGACAACTGGCAGGAAAGCTTGATATTGATCATTGAACGATTGCACTTAGGTTAATTGAAATGAGAAAATTCTAAAATTTAATTGACCCGTTGTCTCGCCAGTTGCCGAAATCAGTCAAAAAGAGAGCGACTAAACTACAGTCTTTCACTGTTTGCGGAAAATTGGAAACGAAAGAACTATCATGGTAATTACTACTCTAAGAAGAGGAAATATATGATGCCAAGAACTTTTGTAAAAGGAAGTTTTAATGTAAAGTGAAAAATACCAGATTATATTTTGGAATAGAATAATACTGAAAAGAAAGCTGTGTCGTTTAACAGTTAGATAGAACAAAACTCCTTTTTATGAGTCACAAAAAACGATCATACAGTTATCTCATAAGTTCAATCCAAATAATAAGAACGCTTGAAAATAACACCCCAAAAAACTGAATATAAACTTAAATAAGAGAGACTGCTTTGCAAGATAATAATGCTAGACCCTAGGTAGCTTGATTGCCTCTAAAATCATTCAAAAAAGATAAACAGACAGTGTTATCCCATTTTATAAACCAGACAGTACCGCTTCACACAATCACTTATTTTGGTCATTGAAAAAAATCAAGAGACAAAGGATTGTGCTTGAAGAGCCGCAATAATCCTACAGTCGGCACCTTATTTGTCAAGCGAAAAACCGTTGTTCCATAGCAGTTCAAGAATTACCGATAGGTAACTTTATTAGCAATAAGAACTACTTTTTGGGTCCAAGTGAAATTGCTCTGCTCTAATCCGTTAAATGCAGCCTTTCGCAAAAACAACGAAGTTCTGCATATGTATAAAAAATTTTTTCGAAGAAGTTAAACAAACAAAGATGTGTTCATACTTACAGAAAAGGATCTGTTAATGACCCACTGCTTTTTCTTTCAATACAGTTTCAGTGTAGTAAAGCCAACGCATTTTCAAATAACTCAAACTTTTTTGCAGATAAACAGATAAAGGTAAATTTTACTTAAAACAGGATATTCTTATTTTGTATCAAAAAAAGTATAATTTTGAAAAAACTGCAAATACTCTACTGCTTAAAAAACTCAAAGATTTTTGAAAGAGTTCAATGGCCTACTTATCCAATTCATCATAAGCGATTTGCACTTTCTCTTTCAGCATCGCATAATTGCACTCAATAGTGCTCATCCTTTTTGTGGACGGTTTCTGTGTTATGGCACTACCGCCATCCTTGACATCACCATTGCTTCCCAAATATTTACCATCGTTATGTCTTACCTAAATAAACACCTGTACGTTCAAAATTAAATGCTGGACATACTGACAAAAAATAATATTTAAGTAGAACCATATTCCAGACCATAACTCCAACGACAATAAAAAACAAACACACAATTAGATCTGGCCTAATAATGAGAAGTCAGCAAATTTAGAATTTTTGCTGCCACTCCCATCCATTCCTCCCTCGTCCTGCTCACATTCCAAAAAAAAAAAA